CTCCTTCTCTTCTGTCTCCCTTCCCCCCCCGCCCCCCCTCCCCGTCTGTGTCTCTCCTGCAGCTACGAATCTTCCTCCGAAATCTTGCCCCACACCCCGCGACTCACCCACTTCCCCAACATCTCCGGGTCTCCGGCCAGCCTGGCTGATTCCATGCAGCAGACGCTGTCCTGTTCCCACAGACGCCGGCAGCAGACGCCTAGCGCCATGTAGCCCCCCCACCCCGGGGCCAGGCCTCGCCTCTGCCCGCCTCTCTTTGTCTCTCCGCCCAGGTAGGGAGGGGAGAGGGGAGCTGCCACCCCGCCACCGGCATAAGGGGGCAGGGGGGCGGGCGGGAAGGGGGAGTGTGCCGTGAGAGAGGGTTTTGGCGGCGGGGTGGGGAGGGGGGACTTCTGGAAAGCGCCAATGGCCAAGCAAAAGGGAAGCCAGTTGTGGGCCGAATAGGCCACCAAGCTGGCCGGGCTGAAGCCTGTTGAGTTTGGGAGGAAACAGTGCAGGAAGGTGGGTGGGGTAAGCAAGAGTCTGCCAGGGGGAAAGGAGGCCTGCAGGTTTGGAACTGGGGCGGAGCAGGACGAAAAAGCCCTTCCGGGCAACTGGTTCCCACCCGGGCCGAGCAGGAGAATCCAAGAATCACAGAGTCGGAAGGGGCCATAAAGACCATCTAGTCCAACCCATTGCTCAATGCAGGGTCAGCCTCGAGCATCCCTGACAAGTGTTTGATAGTGTAGTATGGCGTAGTGTTTAAGAGTGCAGACTCTAATCTGGGAGGAAGAAGAAGAGAAGAGATTGGATTTCTACCCCGCCCTTCGCTACCCAAAGGAGTCTCAGAGAGGCTGACAAACTCCTTTCCCTTCCCCTCCCCCCAACAGACACCCTGTGAGGTAGGTGGGGTCGAGAGAGCTCTGACAGGAGCTGTTCTTTTTCAAGGACAGCTCTGAGAGAACTATGGCTTGCCCAAGGTCATCCAGCAGGTGCAAGTGGAGGAGTGGGGGATGAAACCTGGTTCTCCGAGATTAGAGTCCGCGCACTTAACCACTACACCAAACTGGCTCAGTTTGGTGAGGACCAGGTTTGATTCCCCACTCCTCCACATGGCAGCTGCTGGTGTGACCTTGGGTCAGTCACAAGTTCTCTCAGAGCTGTTCTCTCATGAGCAGTTCCCAAAAGAGCTCTCTCAGCCTCACCTACCTCCCAGGGGGTGTCTGTTGTGGGGAGGGGGAGGGAAAGGAGTGTGTGAGCCGCTCTGAGACTCCTTCTGGTAGTGAAGGGCGGGGTATAAATCCAATCCCTTCTTCTTCTTCTTCAAGAGCAGGTTTTGTTTTGACACCTTGGGGGGGGGTCTTCCTTCTGCAGCTCCTTTTGAAAGGCTCTTACAGTACGTTCTGCCCACCGCAGCTAGCCGTCCACTGCCCAAGAGGCCAAGGCCCTTGTGGTCGGTTCTGTGCTGCAGGGAGGTACCCGGCGCGGCTTGTGGGAGGGGAGAGCTTCCTCGCAGGAGGAGTCCTCCGTGTTCCGTTCTGGGCATCGAGGAGGCTGATGGGAGAATTACAAGCAGGGCTGAGATAGAGTTAGAAGACCAGTTCTATACGGGAGAGGAGAAAGGGAAGGGGTGTGTGTGCATAGAGGCCAGGGAAAGATGAGGAGGGGGAAGTACGATCTTTCTGTCCTATTCCTCTTCCCCCTCCCCTGCTGTAGCTGCAAGCTATCTCTCTCTATTTTTTTTTTTTTGCCCTCAAGTCAAGGCAAGAGACGTGCAGAGGTGGTTTGCCATTGCCTGCCTCTGCGTAGCAACCCTGAATTTTCTTGGTGGTCTCCCATCTAAGGAGCTGCGGTGGCTCAAGGGGTTAAGACGCTGAACTGCAGGCTGCGGAAGGTCAGTAGTTCAGCAGTTCGAGACCCGAGTGTGCCGCATGACGGAGTGAGCTCCCGTCTTTAGTTCCAGCTCCTGCCAACCTAGCAGTTCGAAAGCAAGAAATTGCAAGTAGATAAATAGGGACCGCTTCGGTGGGAAGGTAACAGCATTCCGTGCACCTTGGTGTTTAGTCATGCCGGCCACATGACCACGGAAACGTCTTCGGACAGCGCTGGCTATTCGGCTTTGAAACGGAGATGAGCACCCCAACCCTAGAGTCGAAGTCGACTGGCTTTCGAGCAAGGGAACCTTTACCTTTACTCCCATCTAAATACTAAAAGAGTATGAGCTTAGACTAGTGAGAGATGCT